ATGTAAAAATCATAAAAATTTTCAGAAAATATAATATTGAATTTTAATGTTTCAATATGATTAATGTATCATAATTCGTAATATGAGTATAATAGTGTATTATATAATTAGGTTAAAGTTGTGGATAAAAATGGGATCATTGTACCGATGGGCAGACCTGGAGAAGTTTGGTTTAAAGGCTACAACGTTATGCCTGGCTACTGGAACGATGAGGAAATGACGAAGAAGGCAATAGACGACGATGGTTGGCTTAAATCTGGGTACTTATTTATTACAGAAATATTAATCATTTTTATGTACGAAAAAAAAATGATATATTTTTTTTTTCAATGTTTAGTGATATTTTAATTTTGAGTGAAGATGGTTATGGTGTGGTCACGGGCAGGATTAAAGACATTATAATTAGAGGCGGTGAAAACATACAACCCCAGGCAATCGAGTATTTTTTAGAATCTCATCCGGAAATTATTCAAGCACAGGTTTGTATGGAAAACCCAAATTGTATTTTTAATAAAAATAATTAATAATAATTCTGTTAATTTTAACAATAATAATTTTTTCTTGTAAAAGGTATTTGGAATACCAGATGAGAGACTTGGTGAAGTAGTATGTGCCGCTATAAAAATTACAAAAGGATCTACCGTTGACGAAGAAACTGTAAAAAATTATTGTAATGGAAACGTGAGTTTTATTATCAGTTTATTCAGAGTTATATAAGAGTTCATATATATTTAAACAAAGTTATTTTATATTATCACAGATCGCAAGATTTAAAGTTCCAAACCACGTTATGATCTTGGACGATTTTCCAAAAACAGTTTCTGGGAAAATTCAAAAGTTTAAACTTCGTGAAATCATGCAGGATTATATAAGAAATATAAAAAATTGTCAGTGATATTTATTAATTATTTTTTTGTTTAAACGCTTATACGAGTGAATAATTTATTAGTTTTATAACAATTTATAAGAAACACCTATAGTTGCAAGTTATGTTTTGAGTTTATAGAGAAGTAGGTTAAGTTTTTAATTAATAGTGATCTTTGTTGAGATATCAAAAAGATAATTGCATTATATAAAGAACATATGAAGTATAATTATGTAGTTTTACATATAATATTTTTTCATTATATACTACCACAAATGATGTATATTGAAATATAGTTAATATTATATTGTATTATTACAATATAATACACGTAAATAATATTATATATCATTAAATAATAACAATAATATATATGTGCATATAATTAACTACCAAGATAACGCTGTAGTTATTGAACAAGACATTAGAAATTTGCACGATTGAAAAATTAAATTTTATAATTTTGACGACTAAGGTTGGAAGATGAGTATAACCTTGTATAAGTTTTCTTAAAATATTTTTCCATGTATAAATTAACAATCCATTTGCTAAAACCTTCAGAAAAAAAAAAAAAAAAAATAATAAAAATACGAAATTACACATGCTTAAAAACGTTTATATTATTGTTTTATAAGGTAAATAAATATATACATAAAAAGCTTTAAAATAAAAATTGATCTATGTTGTAAAATATATGATAATAAATTAAATAAACTAATATTATTTAGAAAAAAAAATAATGAATTTTGAACATATATAAATTAATAGATATTTAAAATTAAACTGTAAAACAAATTTTGAGTTTTATAAGCATATTACAGTGAAACCTCTGAATAGCGTAGACACTCTCAGTCACCAAAATTTTGTCTTCTATTTAGAGGTGGCAAAGTTTTGATATTCATAAAGGAGAAATTTTTAAAAGGAAAAAATATGCACAATTTAAGATTTAATTATAGTGTTATATTTTAATTTTTTAATAATATATGTATAATAATAAAAAAATGTAAATGTATTTTTTTTAAATGTATAAAAAAAGATATAGGTACATTTTTAAATAAAATTAAATTTGATGGAAAAAATCGGTGAACTTGGTTTGTTTATAAGTTGCTTTCTATGTACAGTTTTGTTAGTACCTTCATTTGCCATAATTACAAAGAAAATTTCTATCTCTATTGACAGTATGAAACGACCTACGTTCTTTATATCAACTAATGTGTCCTGTAAACTTGTAACGTAAAATTTTGAAGTTTTGTCTTCTTCATGTTCGTTTTCTTCTTTATTGGTCTCACCAAGCTCATCGGGATTAATTAATCATCATTATCGTGAATAAAAATGATTTCGTCCATAGTAACATAGGAGTTTGCTTCAATATTGTTGTCAACCAGTGCGATGCATAATATAAGTTATTTGTCTATTTTCGATTCGGTATTAATTGTTTTTTAATCGTATCGATTAAAACCACATTACAAAAAGTATTTTTTCTACAATTTTAAATTTGATATGCGCTTGAACAGAAGCCACCCAATATAATAGGGTACAAAACATTAATAGCATTAGACTCACCAGCATCTTAATCATCAACAACTTTTTCTAGCAGTTGTTTACGATCGAGCTTCTTGAATTGTTGGATTATATTTCTCGTAATCTTATCTTATTGTCTCATAACGATTTGAAGTAGTTCCGATAGAATGCTCTAGTGTTTTTCTGTCGTCATTGTGTCATTAGGTATTTTTAAATTGTAATTAAATTACTCGTATGTGTCCGCTATTCAGAAGTTTTTCCATTTAAAAGTAAAGAAATGTTCCCGTTTCTGATAAATCGTCCGTTATTAAGAGGTATCCGTTAGGAGATGTCTTACTGTCTATAATTTATTAATTATTTTGTGATGAAGTACATTCACTAAGAAATCTTTTTGATACGACATTTCACGCACTTAACTGATAAAATATTTTTATTTTACGTTAATGCATTATCTTCTACAATTAAAATATCATGTAGCAGATAACTATAAAATTACATTTCAATCAGAAATCACCAAGGAAAAAAAATTAAAAAGCCAAACTTTTTTAAACCTTATATTATAAATTTATAATGTTTAAAATAATATGAAACATTTTGAAAGTAAAAGAAATAAAAAAGTATGGATTGGTATCTATAAAAACAAGTTTTAAATTGTGTGTAAGATACGAGTATTATACCCAAATAAGTTAAGATTATTTTCCTTTTTTTTTATATTCTTTATACATAGGTCTTAAAATTATATTCTTATATACTTCTTACTAAAGGTGTAAGGAAAAAACTTAAAACTTATTTAATTAATATTTTTTTTTTTTTGTAGTCATAATAATAATAATAATAAAAAATATAGGTTACCTGTAGATATTTCTGATATTATACAGGTTTGATTTTATAAATTATAAATATTGAATGAAGTTCTTTTTAATTTTGTAATATATTAGTTTCAATTTATCTGTACGTTTGGAAAAATGCAAACTTGGCTTGCAATTCTTTTTTTTTTTTTGTCTTAAAAATGGCCTAAAAGTAGCTAATAATAGAAAAAGATTGATTATGAACTTAGATCAATCATTTTTACTCATTAAATATGTTAAACTTTACACAATTTATTAGTGAATTATCAATAACACATATATATAAAATATTCCTTATCGTTGGAGATTTGTTATTAAAATATAATATTAAACATTAAGAAAAAGTCATTTTCGTGTTGAAATTTGGAATTTATGTTTCTACTATCATACTAGGTATCATGATTTTTGTTTCAATCAATTATTTAATAAAATCATTTGTGGAGGATAATTAGTATCATAATTTTGTGGTATTTCTGGGTAATGTTAAATGGACAAAATAATGATTTTTAAAAATATTTTAAGTTAATATATAATTTGACATGAGAATATCTGAACCCTTTTTTATTCAATTAATAATTTTTACATGAGAAAAATTGAGGTCGAGTTTATAAACATCTATACCTTTCAGTACAAAATAAATTTAAACATCGCTTAATTAGAATAATATAATATGGCATACTTAGGTATATAATAACCTATAGTTAGTAAATACTAAATAGTAATATAGATTGGATATGTAAATGTAAATCTTCAAATTCTTTAAAACTTTAGGATGGAAAAAAGCAAGATATTTTTATTATTATTTTCATTACAATTGATCACAATTTTTTTAATTGATTCGTAGCATTTAATGGTCACTATAACTAATAAGATAATATATAAAAATTAAAATTATTTTATGGTATGTATGCCTTTATTATTCAACTACGTATGTCTATAGTATATCTTTATAACTAATACATATTATATAAAACAAACTTGGTACAAAATTGATTATTAACTTTAAAAGTTCATTTTATTTAAAAATACAAAAAAAAAAAATGTTAAGACATTACTAAACATTTTGGATCTATGAATGTTTAGCAATCAATTGCTTCTTTATAATTGATTGAAATATACAACTATTAAACTTAATTTAATAGGTTTTGCATTATTTTTAGTAATTTACTGTTTTACATTTTATAAACGACTTTATCTTTGGTAACGTCATGTAGTGTGATATTTCGATGTATTTATATCTAATAATACTCCTTGTCCCTTGATATATGCGTTTTGTATACATAAAAGTATTATGTTTTGCATACATTCATTAAGACAACGGTGATATTTTCACGATTTAATCGGACGATAAACGTAAATATAAAAATTTGAAGATTTTAAAAACGTGCATTACAGTTTTAAATAGTTTTGGTTATAATATGTCGTTAACAGTTATTAATTATTAAAAAAAAATGTTGACCAGAAATCAAATAATTTCAGAAATATTATAATAGTCTAATAATCGTTCTCGTTTAAAACAAAAACGATATAAACATTTAGTAAACCTGTTATAGGTGTATTATTTATTTGTTAAAAATAATAATAATATTGTCAGTGAATATAAACATGAAGTCTCATTTAATCATTTATAAATGTCTAGTTGTAATATAATGTCTATTCATTTGCATTACATTGTAAATTTATAACTGTATAATTGTATATTCTATAATATAATTATAATAGTATCTAGTAAAAATAATTCTTAATTTATAGTTTAATGAGCATACATAAATTTATAGTTGAAAACAATTATCACTAGTTTTTGATTATAATTATTTGTCTTAAAAACTTAAAATATTAATGCACAGATTTGATTGCCTTTATTGGCTTACGAACCAACGTACATTCTTTACTTATATCTAACTTTTTGGGAACAACTTAAATAGGTCACATTTACAAGTACAAAAATATATAATACAAATTAGCTGTGAGTGGATAAATAATCCATCAGTTACAATTGCTTATGCAATTGATATAAAACGATTATTTTCTTAAACATTAATTTTGTAATAATTGGATGATTTGTATTGGTAGTATTGGATTTTAGTCGCTTAATGTAACACTCTGTAGTGCGTTTACTGTGATTTTGATTGAAGTAGCTTGTTCTTTTTATACGCCTGTTGATAGAAGTCAAAAAATAGAGCAAAGAAAATGGTCGAATGGACCAAAAGGAGGGCAGCCACTAATTTTGGATATCCGCAATCGAAAAATAGCACTTGCGCTGAATGGAAAAACACTAACGTGAATTGAAGCTGTGGAATTATAAGACAATATTATCGTTAATGAATGAAGAAAGAAGTTTGTATTCAGTTTTTAATTTTTTATTTATATAAACTATTATGACATAACATCATATCTATACAGACCAATTGGATGGTAGTTAAATGCTTCTTCCACCAGAGGTACTTTTGATATTGTGGTCCCATTGCAGACATCATATAGTAAAAGTACATGATTACGTGTACCATATTATTTACCAAGTTTGAAAATGTTCCATGGCCACCTAAATAATAATACAAAAACTATTAATTAAATACTCGTTCCTGTTCGTTTATATAATGTCATACGAATTTATCATTTGGGTTAAAAATACAATCAAATTATCTGTGTATAATATTGTGTTATATTTTATTCAACAAAAAAATAAACATAAATAAAAAATAAAATGGGTCATTGAAATTAAAACGATGTAACACAATTTACTGTTATTTTTTTTAAAATTATTTTTATATTACGAAATGGCGTGTAAAATATTTACAAAATATTAAAAAAATGTTTTTTAAATAGCTTTCATAAGCACGACGAAGCTATGAATTAATCATAAAAACTAATTACTATGACGCACTAATGACGTAGGTACTTTATATAACTAATTCAGATTTTATAATTGAATTAAATAAATCATATATTCACGTATATGTATGATGGTGGCAGTGGTGCTATAATCCGTGACTAGAATATTTGTTGTAGACGATTGCATGAAACTTATATTTAAGTTCAATTCCTTAGGGTATTTAAAACAAATTATATTTCTAGATTTCTTAGCCCTGCAGCTCATGAGTTCAAACTGGGTCAGAATAACTTTTTGGGTAACGCACAGATGACTTTCAAATGTTTAAATAAACGTAGTAAAATATGTATTTACCAGCAATGAATTTGACGCAAATCCATGTTTCGATCGGTGTGAGCGAATGGTGGTACAAATGAAGTAAGCTTATTTGGTTGTCCTTTTTCCTTAATACAAAAAAGGCCTGAAACAATACATGGGTATGAGTGTTACGTAATATGCAAATGATCGTTTTGAATTTACCGTGTCGACGAATTCTGTCAATTTGGATATGTAGTACCACCAACACAAGTTAGCCATCTGAAACATAACCGAATCCAAACATATTTAGTAGACACCTTAATTAAAGTACTACTCACTATGCGCTATGAGGTTCCATACGAGTTCAGCATTTATATAACATTAAAATTATTAATTATTTAGTTGGTAAAGAGAGATGATGGTAAACTGCATAATAATTATTAATATCGATATAATCGTTAGTTTTTCTGATATTGTGTTGTGACACTGTAACATATTCACTTGATTAGTTATAAAAAAATTTCATATTTTATCTAGCAAGTTACTTAATGAAAGCTAAAATGATTACATTTATAACAGCTAAGTAAGCATCGTTTCTAGTCCCTGTAGGATTCTTTGGAATCATAAAACTAGTGAAATTTAATCTATAATATTTTTAATTCAGGAAGCTTAGCATCTAACATAGCAATTTTTGATAAAGTAAGATATGTTCGTGGCAACTTTAGTAAAAATATTTAATTTCGTTTGGTGTTCAATTTTAGAAATTAGTCATACATATTACGTACATTCAACCGTTATACGTAATTTAATAACAGTATCACATAAGAATTTGACGCTATATATTGATATTTATTGGTAAATAATAATATACGTTATGATACGAAAAAAAAATGTATCATACGTATATCATGAACATATCTAACTTTATTCTACATAGAATATTCCTAAAACGATATCGGTATCGAATATTTGCACAATGTAGAATATTACTCGTTGGCCATCATCATTTTAATACCATACATTACTATCATAAGCTATTGAATCTTGCACATCGACTAAAATCGTCGTTATATACATACCCTCAGTGCAGTAGGATTGTGTGAATAGTCGACTGGTTGACATTTGTAGCTGTAGTCCAACAACCATCCACTCATTAAGTGCTGAAAAATAATATTAGAATGTTCCTTTTTTATTGGTTTTTTTTTTTTTTATCATCTCTATTATTAAAGCGACGAGTTTTATACTACATTGCGAATATTTATAATATTATCTCTCAACTGTACGGAAATAATTATTATTCTAAAATCCATATTTCATAATATGTGCATTTTTCAACAAAATATTGAAGGCACTATGTATTATACCTAGCATTATATACGTCTATGTAACTAACAATATTATATATTTTATACGATAGCTTGGGGCGTTACAACGTATACGTACGTTCCAGTGGTCGACTGGGTAGCACAATAATTATTTTATTCATTTCATTTCATTTTTTTTCTTATTATTATTATTATAATTAATGGGTTCTCGGCAATTTTTAACGTTTCGTAACACTTAACACTGGCAAAGTACAGTCACTGCGGTTTGTCATAGGTAAATTAATGAAACGTAACGAAAACCCATCGAATTAAAGATGAAAGGGTTATGTTTTTATTTCCTTATGTATACGATATATGGGTTACAAAGGTTACAAAATTCCTGAAAACTCACCGTAGCGTCAAAATTGTTGCGTAAATGTTATACTATACAATTTGACTGACCTACATATACAAACTTTAAAACGAAAAATTGATGAAAAATTATATCATAATTACACAAAACAATTAATGGGAATATTATTATACAAAACAAAATTTACAGTGACACATATTAATATTATTAAATAAAGTTCAATTAATATTTTTTAATTAATTTTGTTCATATGGTTTGTTTGATATAATATTTTGTTTACGAATGTAAATGAGTAACTGTGTACAATTATTAAGTATTGAATAGATTTTTTGAAAATGTGTAGGTATGTTATGTTTTCGTTTATAATAACAATAATTATTGTGAAATTTTAGAGCTAAAAATGAAATTAATATTTTTAAACGTTATTTGGACTTTATTATCCAGAAGTAAATATATACAATAATAGTCATTTTTTATTAAGACGAGTATTCTTTAAAATTCATTCAATTTTTTTTTTTTTTTTTGTTTGAGCTGATTAATTATTGGTACATTTCAAATGATTTATGTGAATAAGTGAATAATACGGATAATCAAATGTTAAATCATTGTTGGATTTTTAATAATTATTGTCTAGTTAAAAAATAAGTTGATACCTACTGATAATACTTAACATTAAACGATTTTTTTTTTTTTTTGTTTGATACTGATTCTGTGTACATAATATCTATTAACAAGGCCATGCAATTATTATGCAGGCTAACGGATGATAACTAACTGTATTAACAAGGGCAAACAGAGAAAACATAATTATGGCTAAGTACTATAAGAGATCTATAACTTTATTTTTAAGTGACTACTTACTTTAACGAGACTAACAAATTAAATAAACGGTTAGAATTATTTTATTTAACTGTGGTCTTTAAGTTTTCCTATAGTTAAACTATAGATACATAGATACGTAAAAGTAAAATTGTAAGAAAAAAAATGTTTACAATTGCATGCTCTTGTTTTATGTTAGGATAACGAATAACAACCAAAATTAAGAAAAATATTTAGATATATTGTTATTTATGGGCTCCTATGAAAGAAAAACTATTTAAATATATCGTTTCTGTTAATCTTCTGCGGTAATTTAAATATTCGAAATATTATGATTTATATTAATTGTTTAAGACAAGAACTCTTATTTCATAATATTTTGAATAGTAAGGGATATGTGACCCCAAAACCCCTTCGGGTGGTAAGAAGCGGCGATGCCATTAGAAAAATTAGGAGCGTCACGTCTGGCGGGCGAGTTTATGTTGTTTGGTGTACACAGTCTTTGCCCTCGCGCGTACCAATCATAAACGCGGTCGGTCCGAGTTCGACTGGCCGTTGGCGTAAGGAGCGCGATGACGGAATAACACGTGGACCGCGAGTGATCATGACCTCGATGCGAGTGACCCGATGCCGTCAAGCTGCGGCTCGAGTGAAAGTGTGAGCAGCAGCAGAAGAAGAAGACGAAGAAGGAAAAAGGAACGTGAGCTGGCCTGGCCGGGGTTGGGTCGGCGTGAAGATTGCATCACAAGGACGGCAGCAGGGTGGGCGGGTTGGAAAAGAGGGGCGTTTGTTGTTCGACCGCGTGTTACATCATATCCCGGTAGATAGGTGTACGCACTCACTCTTGTCGTCTATATGTTTAGTATATATTTAATAATAACATAATACGTCTTGTATACGCGTCACGGTACTGAGCCAGGTAATATTAAAATATAATAACAATTCGGTTACGTTTTCCTATTTTATTTTTGAAGATACATTGGTTTATTTTAAATTTGTCATAAAATGACGGCATTAAAAAAAAAAAAAAAAATAAAAATGTATACAACATTTAAATTAAAAATATTCGATGTTTACATCACTGAAAAATGCACACTTATCAATCTGTTAGGTTGTTTTAAGTTTATTCGATATTACCATCGACAGTAAGTATTTCTTCATTTATTTGACTGTAACAATATGCAGTGCACATATAATATAAAAAATAATTAAATATAAAAATTAAAAAGTCGTCTGTGATGATAGACGTACCGAATTTCTGTACTGTATAAACTTGGTACCCACTTTGGTTACCGACAACTGTCTGTATAGCATCATCAATACCCGGTAAATAAATTCAATAGGGACGCCATTGAATGCGGTAACTATAATCTATGGTAAAATTGGGAACGCCACTGAAACGGGTAAATACACTCGGGGCGTAACGAGTTGTGCTGCGAATTCCGAAATCACACAGATCTGATGGTTTTCTGGTTTTGTACGTCTTACTCGATATAGCAACGCGGCGTGATCAACTTTTGAACGGCTGAAAAGCCAGGAACAATAAATGACGACGAGGTAATACGTAATGTATTAATTTTTGGTATTTATACGTTATGTAATATTGTAAATTTTTTTTAGATTTCAATGTCAAAGTTTGATTTTTGGAAAAATAACAAGAAAAAAACTATCTGGATGGAAATGGGTCAAGGTCAGGTACGTCTATAAATTCCCCGTAAGCGTAGAAATCGCGACAGACTTCCGTAACCATCCGTTCGTTATTTCGTCACTATTCGTTATCTGCATAATATTATTATTATGCACACGTGAAAAGATGTTTTAAAATGTATGAACTTAAATAACTATCTACGGAAAGAAAATAGTCAGAGTTTATTAAACGTTTTGTACGTACCAGATTACATCTTTCCTTATAATCACTTATATAATTAAAATATAATACGCTAATATATTATAGGAATGTCCAAATATTCAATAATTGTTAAAAAATAGTAAGGACTATACGCAATTAAATCCGGTTCTCTGTAATTGTGATGAAATAATTATTTGTGCGTGCCACATCAAGTAGTACGATAAATATAGGAATTAGCTGATTATTATTGTATATAATGTTTACTTTTTTATGCATTCTGATAAATTTCAACTATACAGTATAGGTTTGTTTGCATTATATAACTGAATAAACTATTATTATTTAATATTTTTAAAAAAAAAATACTTATGGAAATATTATTATATCCGTCTGAAGAAGATTCTGACCCACTGACACTCAAAACCATATATTTCATTCTATCACGCACCTCAGTGACTTTCCTTCTTTGGTGTTAAAACATGTTTTTATTATGTAATGGTTTGATATGATTGACAACAAAATTTAAAATATTGTAAAAAATGATGTTTGAAAGTTGCAATGATTATTATATTATTTTAAGTTTTGCAATAGATCCTACCTCCCACAGCATGACGAGACTGAAGATGACTTGGCCAGCATTGTAAAATACTAGTATATTGTTCAGTTTGAAGGGTTTTCGATTGGCCATTACTTTAGGTCCCAAGTATGTGACGATATATAAGTATGTGATGACCATGATAAGTGTTGGGAACGGGCTGTCCATTAATGGCCAGTCGTTCACTCGAGGGTCTATATTAAAAACGAAAAATTTTTTTTTTTAAGAAAAAACGATTATTGGGATTTAAAAGCATGATTATTTGTACAGATTTTATGTAATATAATTAACTATATTACTTAAAGTATTAAATAAAAAAATAAAAAATAAAAAATTACCACTTATAGAATCCACAAGGTTTATGTATCTGTCGATGGCCATGTTCACCAGAACCGACGCCATGTTTCATTCGTGTTATCTAAAAAAATAAAAATAAAAATACAGATTATTTAAAAAGCATTTAATTTTTTTTCAATGAAAGAATTGATATTTTCTCTGGGTAATTCCAAGGAGTAGCGTAGAACTATTGCAAGGTCTTGGTTAGTTCTGTGGTGAGAATTACCTACACAATTGTTCTCACTGGTGTTTCAAATTATCATTGACGGAAGAATTTTTGAAAACTATTACCTATGCTAACTTTCCTAAATTCACTATATAAATATTAATCTACGTCAAAACATACTATTACCTATTAAACTTCCTACATTGACAATAATATCGAGACTAATATATTACATAATTACCTATGGCAGATATAGTTATGATTTTTGTTAACTTAACAATTAAGTTTAAAATATTAAAAATATGGATTTAGTAATAATAATATCTAAAACATTTATATTTTAATCATAATTTGAGTTAAAAATAAGTTAGAAAAATAATTAAAATAAAATAAAATTATTATCTGTTTGACAACGTATACGTTTTATTCTGTTACCTGTCAGTGAACACTATACATTATATGTTTAGATCGGATATAAAAAACAGTGAAATATGATTTTATTTACCCCAGACAGTGTTTTAGTTGCACATTAAAAGACAATGATAATAATTTAGCTAAATTTTTAATTTGTTTGATGAAAAATTGTAGTAGGACAATAAAGCGTGAATGAAAAAAACAAAACAAAAATAATAAAAAAAATCTAAACCCCAGTAATAAAATAATAACACAGTGTTAAACGCCACAGTAAGGTCATATTATTATCATTAAATAAATTAGTGATATTAGGTCACTTGGCGAAGACGATATTTAGTAGATACGTATTATCCGATGTCCTGTAGTGCACTGCGATCGCGTACAAATCACATTATTATCATGGATTCACTAATAATAATGTAACATTTATAAATTGTAATGATTAATATTTCATACTGTCAGCATGTAGGTCGAGGTATCGCGTATCGATCGCGTAATTACATTATTGATGGTCAATTTATTAAAACAACAGCAGGAATAGTGAAACTATAGACATAGTAGCTCGTTGATTATATACTCATAATGTGTACCTATATCAATACCATAGTGATAATAATTATAGTAAGTTATGTAAACCTTTGGTAGATTTGCTCTCTAGAGTATAACGGTGTAAGTATTAAACTATGATATGAAGACTATATTATTTTATAGTTTTTTAAGTATTTTAAAGATGTTCAATATTTAATACATTATTATGTATAGAGTACATTATATTTTTAACCTAAGTTCAAAATAAATCATAACCCTCATGAAAAAAAAAATCATAATTAAGTTGCATAAGAACTGAACAGTCTAAATAAAAAAGATACTAAAATATATTTTAAGTTACTAAATACTAAACGTTCGCTAAAAAAGATAAAAATTACTGCTATACGGTATTGCAACCTAACCTAGGTTGTGATTAAACATGAAACCACGATAAAAGCTATATTATCAATTATGAACAATGTTATGTGGTATTTAATTGTTGTTCTATTAAGTTCAATGAAAATTTATTATAGCTGTGTTAAAATGTGGTCTTATACAAACCACCGTATCGAAATATTTAAATACTTGAAAAACTATAGGTACTTTTTTATTATTCATGATATCGTACTTCACAAAACAAAAATATGCAAATAATGGAAATAAGAGTAGAAAATCTCAATTGATTTTAAAGCTTTTTATAAATTATTTAGACTATTAACAAATACTGAATAGTGGATTGAGTTTTAAATTTTTTTAGTTTTTCTATTATCTAGTAAACAAATTAGATATACTTTAACTGTTCATACATTAATTGTAAACATTTTGAGTAGATTGTCCATAAGTTACAATGGTTGTTTTAAATGCTATTTATGTAATGTTTGTATTGCTTTGTAATATAAATCATGTATTATATTATGATGTGATTTAAATTTGATAAAAATAGCCATATGGACGCTTAATCGTTTTTTAATCCAATAGGTACATATATAATGAATCTAGCATTATTATACTTTCACAATTAGGTAACCGATACTACTTGAGTCAACGAAATAAAGTAATTTTAAATACTTAAGTAGAGTATTCTAAAATATTTTTAATCATATTTAAAAGAATAACAATCTATAACTATTTGGAAACAAAGAATGTGCGATAAACTGTTCCCAGCTTTTTTTTATTCGAGAAAATGTTGTAACTATATGTGGTTGACTCCGTTTTACTATCGCAAAACATAGACTTTTACGTTTAACAGTGTGAAATTTGCTATTATTAACTTAAATGTCAATGTGAATTGATTAATTTTTTACTAAACTTAAATACAATGACATAATTTCCGTTCTTTCGTTGATCTTAATAATATTTTAATTTTTGATTTTTAAGCAAATTATGAGCATTTCTTGAATATTTATTTTAAATATACCTATAACTTGTACAAAATCACAGATTATGTTCTTATTTTTTAATATTTGATAATAGGTAAAAATTCACTTTAATAGTTAACAACATCAAATTAGAATTACTGAATGATGATTTTCTAAGTTGTGTATTTGTAAGGCAGAGACAACACATGTACTGCATTTATAACTATAAGCTACGAATTACTTAGATTTCAAATTAAAATTTATTTCATGATATGTGATCACATATTATGATATATTTTTTAAATAAAATAGTTTTTTTTTATAATGTACTGAGGACAGTATTTTGTCACGAAAATCTCATTCATTTGCACGTCGACAATAATTATTATAGGCACCCAATTAATGATTTAACATATTAAAATTGATTTTTAAATTATTTTAAATGCTACGTAAGAAAAATAAAGTAAGATCACTAAGAAAAATATAATACGTTTCTAAAATCATAACGTTCAAATCAGTTAGTGAAACGTAAATTAAATCATACATTAACTTAAATTGAATTCCCTATTATATAAATAGTTATTATAGTATTCACTGGCTAATTAACAATAAACGATGTATTGAGTTTTGAGTACTTTTTATTAAATAGTAGTAAAATTGTCTTTATATAGAATAAGAAAGTAAGATATCCATATTTATTTTGCAATGTAATAATATTATGGATGAGTAATTATTAAATCGTTATTTTAAATTAATACAAATAGAAATATAGAAAAAAATAAATATGTATACTATATAATATTTTTGAAATTTAATTTTGTTTATTAAAATATATTATTACCATATTATTTATCACGAAAACATGAAAATCGTGTTTTGTAGTAATTATTGTTTACCATCTGACCAACTTAGTTCAAAGGAATTTGCCAACGAGTACAATAATGTTTGAAGACCTTGTATCTACATTTTATTGACCATAAAAATATAATAATTGAACTTTTACTTGGAGAACTTTTGTTTAAGTCTTAAGATATTATTCAAGGCCCTTGCAATATCAGTACATATATTATATTTGTCCTATTTAGTATTTATAAAATTGAATTTTTTGTTGTACATCGTTAGAAACATACGTAATGCGTATATGAAGTAAGCAACCTCTTTCCTGCTATCCTTTCACTCTCGAGCCTGTCCAAGTATCAAATAAGTTTGAATCATATAAAATTAACATAATATTTTATCAAGTAGGTATAAGGAATCTTTAAATATTAGGCCATTGTGACAATTTTTGTATTATGAATAATTAAAAATGTCTACTTGGTACTAAAATACGCGATACATATTCTACGATTGTAGAAAAATAAATCTAATTAACCCTTGGTCGGTAAAATTATAAAAGTATTATTATTGCTTTTTAAATATTGTCGATTTTTCTTAATCATATAAAACAAATATTATGCTAAGTTATTCAATGATTAGATCTTATTCATCCAAAATATTGATCAAGTCTATTTTTTATTAGTTAAATCAAATTTTTTTTAATTTTTTGAACACACTATTATGATTTTTTTATGCTGAGTATACCGCTATTGTTTTCAACTGACATTTTTAATTATTAAAATTAAAATATTAAAAACAAATTTAATGTAGTTATTAATTTTTAAATCTATAAAATATAAGTGATAAATTAAATCTTAATTTCTCGCGTTTGATAGTTTTTAATAGGTATATTATTTTAAAATTATGTAAATATATTATTAATATTAATATAAAATATACACAAATGTGTATATATTTTATATAACATATATATATATGTATACATTTCCCTAATGGGAAGTAAACCATCAACTTAAGATCATTTTATATTGTTTAATGTTCACTAAATTAGATATTATAATAACCTCTGATTAAAAGTGTAGTAGGTATTTATAATCAATGTGACAGCTATGTAACTTATGTATTTTTGCCGAGAAATTTTAAATTACCCATTATTATGAAAGTGTTAAGAGTTATCCGTCAATAGATATTTTACTGTTAATATGCACAGAATAGATCTATTACATTTAAATAATGTAAAAATTATTTAAACAAATATATTTATTTAAGATTTTGTTTATTAATAATAAAATAAAATATATTTTTATAGTTTCTAATATTAACTTGCTAATAATATTATTTAATTGTATTTATTTAATTCTGTTTATTTGTATGAATCGTGAATTTAAATATTTTCAACTTAAGTATGAACAGATATGTACGGTTCTATACATTTTAGTGTTGAATATCTTTAAACTTAAGTTTTTACAATCATTGAAAAAAATCATTCTATCATTTATGCAATTTATTTCATAAAAAAATAAATCAAAATATGTACTTATAGTAAAATTAATATATCTATTATGTAAAAAAATTTATCGTTTTTTCCTTGTAACGTGTAAAGTGTAAAATATTAAAATATACACAATATATATTCGGTGTGTTTAACACGGGCATAAGCAGTTAAATAATACACGATTTATAAACTAGTTTAAAGCATATTGACCTAGTGTAGCGATTTCTATAAAAATATATATGCGATTATGTAATTCTTAATAACTTGCTATGTACTTTTTAACGCAACATTCACTTACATTATGAGAGTATCGACTCGTTATATTATTATATAGCTACATAAATGAAAATAAAAATAAAATGACATTACATAAAGGCCTCTTATAAACTTTTGTATTTTTTAAAAAGTGATATTTTTAATTATATCTAAGCGTATTCAATTAGATAGGTATAATGCCTAAGTAATAGTCGAAATCTACATATTTTTTTAGTGGCAAAATTACATATGATACCTACGTTGATGCTTCAACGTATATTATTTGTAAAACTCGCTTAAAATAATAATATTAAAAGTTATTAGTTAACATAATATAGTATTTTGTAGGATTATATAGCTGAATAATATGTATATTGTTAGTTGTAATAACGCAATGGTGATTATGGCGCCAAACCTGAAAATTTTATACTATCAACCACTAGAAAAAGTTTTTTTACCATTTAATACCACAATACTATGAATTTTCAAAATCATATGAGACAAAATTAAAAAATCTTACAAATCTTAGAATTATAATAGATATAATAAACTAATTTAATCCAATAAAATAATATTTTAACAGCGTTGTAGTATTTTAATTTATAGACTATATTATAATATACTTATACCATTATTAATAAATGTAGATACCTGAGTTTCGTTGATATAGTCACTAAAATCTAAGCTCTCCAGACGGTTTTCAAACTCTTGCTCGAAAGGTTGTGATAAAAATAGACAATGTTCGTATCAGGTGAACCACTGGGATTCGTCACCATTCACGATAATTACGATAAAAAACCGTGTTGTCACAAGCATAATTCGAAGTTAAACACTTTTTCAGATTAAAAAATGAGAACATCAGTGAAAATATATGAAAAATAATGAGGTATGTAGACAAAATTGAAAGAGGTACGACGACGAGCCTGCAGCGCCAGACTGGTTCGGTTTTAGGTTCGAGCTCGCGGACTCTCCACAGAAATGAAAGTGAAAAAAAAATGTAAAATAAATATATATGGTTATTGCAACATAGAAGGCATGTGTTTGTCCGCTCGCTGGTTTTATACTCGTCTAATCCGCATTAACTTCCCCACTCAGGTATCTGAAGTATATTATCAGGTATATTATGTGTACCTATATAGACTTGGTGGCGTAATTATTTGTTTTGAGGGTCAAAACTAAGATGAGACGAAATCGACTCCTTCTTTCTTTCTCTGTCTCTCCCTTACTCTTTTCCCGAGTTCGTAGTATACATTTCTACATATCTACCTATATCTATACCTAATTCATAACTGACCTTTACGGCGCACTTGACTTCTTTTTTGTCTAATCGCTCTGTCTGATTGCCTTGACTTGTGGAAATATACAGCATTGTCGTTTCCCGACCAAATTATTTCAATTATTAACTGTAAAACAACACAAAAAAAAATATTAATATTATTAACAGACAAATTGTATTAGGTATATAAATATATACATTTGTAAAAGGGTCATGCATTTAATTTTTGATTTTATAAACTATATTTTATTTAATGTCTTCATATTTGACATAGTACTTTTTTTATTGGATCAGAGCCGGTAAAATATTATAATATTTTATTATACATTTACATCATATTTAATTTTTAATATCAATTACCAATAAATTTCGGATTTTTTCACTTAAAATAGAAAATGTGTAAATACTTTATTAAATCTTGTTAGAAAAAATAAAATGTTTGGAAAAAAGACATTCATAATGATGTTTTATGAAATAAAGTATTATTTTACCATATCAGGTAACCCCCCCCAAGACGCCTAAAGCGCGAATGGTGTCGTGATTTGTTATATTAAAAAAAAAAAAAATTATTAAGTAAATAATTAATTACCATAAAAAATGTCATCAATGGGTGGCTCCTTTTATCAAACTATTTCATGTGAATGTACTTTTAGCATATATTTTTATTGAATTAATGATACAGATTGTAAAAATAAAAATAATAAAAAGTATTATTTTGTATGTTTAATATAAAATATATCTTAAGAACACTTATCAAAATAATAATATGGTTGTATGTAAATAAAAAAATGTAAGTTAGTAATTTTAAAGTTGTCCGAGCAGACGCTCTTTAAGTATAATAAATTGCTTAACAGAAAAAAATTTCACGCTTTATGAAGTAAATAAATAAAAAAATATTGTTATTTTTTTTTTTTAAGATGAATGCTTACATATGTAAGGTTGGGTTTTAATTTAAAAATTATAATCTCAGAAGTTATAATAAAAACCATATATTACATATTTTTGAAATTTTGAAGTTTATTTTTTGGCATTATTTAAAGTTAAGCAATTCAAAAGTTGAAATTCATCATAACCTGAATAAAGTTTTCATTTTTAAAATAAATAAAATGATAAAACCTTAACATTCTACTCGTACAAGACGTGATCATTTTTCTTGTCAAGTAATTTTTGATTGTTATAAATGTTATGATGGTTTGAATTTATACTTTCTTAAGAGTTCATTGTATGGCTGACACACCACGTAATAACTAAAGAGTGTCTACATTTTTACTTTTTAATAAAAAGCTTACTCTAACAGCTTATAATATTATATTTTAATGAGGAAGGGGTTTTAATATATTATTTTTTTCGATTTATTTGAAAAAAAAATTTAGTAACTATTAAAATGTATGTCTTACTGGTGTCTATGTAGGTCAAGTAAGGTTAGGTTAGGAGTTTGCACCCTTAAAAGTTGGGTCTAAGCATGTTTTTTATAATACTTGAAGAAATATAATCATTATTTTGTATCAAAAACCATGGTTATGTTAGTGTTAAAGAATGAAATGTTATATAGAGGCGAGAAGTTGCTGTAGATAGCGAAACAAATAGTAATTTGAAGTTTTTGTTATGTGAACCGAATTATGTACTTAGAATGCATTGTCCTAAAGCACCCAAAAAATAATACTCTTTACATTGAAATTCGGGACCAACTTATATGGTATCTTTATATTTTATAACACAGTTTGTTAATATAAATGGAAAGTAAATACAATTAAGTGATGTGTATGAACGTATATTGCGTATATGCACACACGACACACACACATACACATCCAGCAATCTCCAAGGCGTTCAGCAGTTAAATATCAGCTGCCCTGGGACTTTCTGATAGGAGTGTAAGAAGAATTCTGTTCAGAGATCTTCATATACATCCATACAAACTGATGATTACACAAGAACCAAGTGAGAGAGATTTTGAAACCCCTATCAGAAAGTTTCAGAGCAGCTGAATGCCTCGGAGATTGCTGGAAGGTCGGCCAGACGGTTTTTTCTTCAATGCAGAACCCGTTGCTTTAAAGTTAGATACCCAAACAAACATTGTTTTTCTATTTTGAACAAAATCATGTAGGTCATGTTAGAACTGGATGTGAAATACTCACTGAGTAAAAATCGTAGAACCATCATTACGAATATACTACTCTACGACAAATGCGCGATCTTCAATGATCCACACCATTACGCCTATTAAAAACGGCATGTTTACAGCTATCGATCGATACCCCCTCCATAGTTATACCACCACCACAACTCACACATCGCCATCTCTAAATACGGGGGATTTTTTGCCGGACCCTGTATAATATATTAATTAAATATTGTATCAATGTAGTTAAAATTAATTTATTTTATTTTATTTTCCTTTTTTTTTTTTTTTGGTGATAGGTTGATGAAAAGTAATTTGCAATATGTTTAAATCCTCGTTTTGCTCTCAGTTGGCATATTTGTTAACACGGCGTTGTAATATTAAGGCATAGAAACTAAATTTTATACATTTATCGATGAGCAACAACATATTTTAAATATGTTTGTTATGGAAGTATTATATTATTTTCAACTAGAATCAAAATATGCAGCTAAATAACTGACGAATATATTATTAGTCAGATGATGATGGTTTATATAAACAAGTGGCCATAAAATTATGAAGAAACCAATAACATTTTAATGTAGAGCGTTTTTGTTTATTAATCATTTCAATTAGTGCAGATTGAATACCTATTATTATTATCTGCAAAATCTACCACCTGCTACTCTATAGTAGGATTCTAACACGTTTCTTTAGAAATTGTAAAGTAGATTTTATCTTTACACGGATAATAACTTGTGTTTATTATTATTTCATGTTCACAGGTATGCTTTTTCATTTAAGCCTAATAATTGAGATACTTGAGATTAATTTCCTGACATTTTTTATTTTATTCTGCTAAAAAACATAAAAATTTATGTAAAGTAAGTAAAAATGAAAAAAATTGTCATGGTTCAATTTTCAAAAAAATTATAATGAAAATTCACTTCTTCCAATCTAATAATAACAGCAAGTTCAGTTTATTCTCTTCGGATTTATCTTAGTAATTTATGATCATAATACTATTAGTTATTACTATGGATTTATATAAACATTGGTACATAGAAAATAAAAATTTCCTATCTCAGAAAAATTCTAGGATACCTTGTAAGTAAAATAAAAATTCTTCTATAATTTAATGATAAGGTCCTAACACCTAAGCTTAAAAATTCCAAAAATCAGAATTTAAACAAATTCATTATTAAAGAAAAAAATTATACTTAGTGAATCGCTCTGATTAGTTTAATTTAACACAGTAAAAATGCGATTTCATTAAAGAATTTTTATAACATGTGGCACACAAGTCCTAAATAAATATCTACCTACTTTTATCTAATATCATAGCCATTTAATATCATAATTTATAATGGATTGTGTAATATGTATTTATATAATAAATTAATTTTTTAATAACACACGAAATAGTTCTTGTCGTTAATTTATTGTTTATAGAACTATACAAAATAATTTTGATTAAAATGTATACCTATAAATAATTACAGTAATTACGTAGTTCTATTGATAAACATTTTGTCATTGAAGTTTAATAAATAACAACAAATAATTGTTTTCATATACACACCTATTGGAATACGAATTTCAATACGATCAATAACCAATTATTTGAAGTAATTTTGATGAATTTGTAAGTAGGCCCTTGGAAAAGATCATCATATCAAGCTGTTGTCATTACCAGTGGGTGACTCGATAATATCTCAGTGTAGTATTTATTGGCCAACATCTGTCATGGTCGACTTGTTAACGAAATGTAGTTGTAGAAATACAATATTGCCGGTGAAACAATAGAAATTCTAGGTAAAATAATTTAACTTATAGGCAAAAATACAACTGGGCCATTTTTTTAAAAAAGAGTGTTCAAAATAAATGCACGATATATACATATAAATTCATATATAATTTAGAAAATGTTATGTGTAATTATAATATTAATAAATGATAAAATAATAAAAAAAAAATGTACTTTGTAGTAAAATAATATTTTATTTTAATGTAAAACAATTAGCATCGAACAAATACATATAATTTTATGTATTTATTTTCCAGTTTTTTATAATATACCGTGTACCAAATAAAAAAAAGTTTTTTGTCTAAATGTCTAATAATATTATTAAGTTTATATTTATTTTCGTAGTTCATTAAAACTTTTTATACAGTGGTTTCTTTAATGTTTTATTTAAGTAAGAATTTAAAAAAAAAAACTGTCCAGCAGGTCACTGTTTTGCTACAAAGTAGGTAGATATCAAGTGTATCTTGTCATTTATTAGACGTTGCAACGAACGAGTTATATTTTAAAAACGATTATAACTGATGATGATTTAACTTATTAATAACCAAGTCTCATTTTTTAGAAACTAAGATTGTCAAACAATTATTTTAATGGAAATACTAAAATGTTAACAAATTTTTGTACTTAGGACTTAGAGCGTAGAAATGAATGTATTGATTTTACTATAATATATGCTTTTTAATCTTAATTTTTTTCGTGTGCTTGTAAAAAACTTTTTTATAGTGGAAAAAATGCTCTAGTCATAAATTTAATTTTTATTTTAAGAGGTTTAAATGTTTAAAATATAATTTTGTTATTAAAATAATTTTTTGGTAACTTTGATTACTAAAAAGTTAGACCATCTCAGCTAAGAATTGTTTTTAATCGTTTAATTTATAATTGAATTAAAATTTAACACATCCATATCAATGCTTACTCAATGACAAAGTACAATTGACTTCTACTGTACAGCGAAGTGGTTATCTACTTTTCTCCTTTTCCTGATTATTTAAAAAAGAAGTTTCAACTATAGATATAATTATATAATATATGGACAATCACTTTCCTCAAAATTAATGGATCAAAGTATTTTTCTGCTAGAAAATATGTCTTCATGTACATAGAAAAAATATTTATGAAATAAAAACACGTTTTAACATAAAATTAATACATTATTTACTCCGTTCAGAATATTATACGATTTTATAAATATGAACTTGTCCCCTATTTTAGTAGTTAGCAGATATATACAACATATATGATTATAATATTATCCTGTGCAATTGAAAATGTTTAATATTACAATATATTATAACGGTCAGGGCCAGTACCAGCTAGGTTCTACGATGCCTAAAGCAAGTTATAATTCTATTACAGAGTCCTTATAAATTATAACTACGAGTTTAAATTATATTATTATTTTCATAATAATAGTAACTAATAGGTTATATAATGATTTGAACAGTTCATAAATTTTATTTGAGAGCTCAAAGAGCGGGGTTGAGCGAGATTGGTGTTTGCGTATAATTGAACTTGGGAGTGAGAGTAGAAATATTTAGAAACAATACACGTTTTGTAGTTTTTTTCTACATACTCACTAGCCATTACAGTTAACATATATTGAATAAAATTAATGAATTTTTTAAATAATTAAGTATAAAAATACAAAATAATAAAAGGAAGAATATCAAAATTCTTACATGATTTACATAAAAGAGTGTTAAAGCGTAACATATTAGACAGTGTATTGGTATATGATAAAATAATTACTCAGACTTACTACTGCAACACTGCAACTGTATTGATTCATGTGGTGTATTATTATATTAAATAGGGAGTATTATGGCATGTAAGTACCTACACAAATGCTTAATATAGATGCATACTACACACGCATTACTCGTGTAGCGTTTAATAAAAATTAAAAAATATGGTTAGGTTATTTTTTAAGTATGGTTTGAATACAAAATTAATAAATTAGATGTCGTGAAAAATTTAATTAGAACCAATTTGAACTGAAATATTTTATGGTTTGATTGAATAACATGGGTAATTTGACTGTAGTTGGTTTCAAGGCAAGTTTTCCAAAATAATATAGCACTAGCAATATAAAATTATTTACGAAGGTTATAGAAAAATAATAAGATAATAATTGAGTCATAATATTATAAGTTAATCATTCGAGAATATTGATTATATAAACATTAAAATGTCAATGAGTACTTTTATTAAAATTACTTTTATTTTATTTTTAAATCATAAAAGTTTTTTAGTTTGTAAATTATTATATAATCATTGAAACTCGTATAGCGAAAATATTTAATCAATCTTTAAAGAAATTACGAAGTATAAGTTAATAAACTATTATATACTAGATATTTTATTAATTTTAGTTACAATAGTCAACATTATGACTTAAATAACTAAAGATGGGTTATGAGTTATGACGAGCTTAAAAATGACAAATTTATGGGTAATTAATTATTAAAATATATTTTTGAACCGATATAAATAAATCATTATAGAATAATAAACCTAAATTTAGAATAACATATGATTTTTTTTAAAAATTTAGATCGCATTGGTATGATTTAAAATTATTGATTAGTCATCTTTGAGTATTAAGTATAAACAATAGCCAAAAGCTATATTTTTATTTTACGAACCACAAACAGTCAAACTCATTTACACCTAATTTCATTGTCAATGATTGACAATAATTATACATTGTTTTGGTTTGATTAATTGAGTGATTACAAAGTAGTATTTGTTAACTAATGTCTAATATTATAAATTATAACAAACAAACCATGTGTGTTTAACGTAAACTTCCTTGATATTCTTAAAAAATTACAATTTAGCTTTAAGGAAATTGGAAACTATGATTTTTTTTGTCTTTGTCTAATACACGTGAAACATAAAATTATAGACGTATTCTATTTCTAACGTATCCATTGATATAATGAAGTGATAAAAATTTTGAAAATAGATTTAAATTTATCGTTAAGTCTATTTGAGATCGAATATTCCACATTTTTGATTTTATGTCTCAAAATCTTAGAAATATTGTAACAAAAAAATTGACATATTTTAATTTTTGGAGAAGTTAAAATCAAAAAATTAAAAATGTGGGGAAATTGATCTCAAAAAGACTTGATGGTCAATTCAAATCTGTTTTCAAAATTCTTATCGTTTCATTATATTCAGCATTTAAACTAGTTAAACTTAATAAAATTGGACGGATATATGCATTTAGTGCATATGCTGAAATGCTGAATGATCTGAATGTTCTAAATAATATATACGAGAAAATAACAGTGTACCTACCTTTACCAATATATAGTCATTAAAGGGTGATTCCATTAAACGTAATCACCAACTTTTATCATTTGTATTCATTCAAATTCTGATTTACGAAATTTTAAAGAATACTCTTATTAAATTCATATTTTTAAATACATAGGTTAGTCAATTATTAAGAAATGATTTTGTATTAATACAAAATTAATTTTCAAGTAAAAAACTTCTTATTTTAATATGAATTGTAAGGCACATTTTTTTTTTTTAACGTCGATGAAGTGTCTAAGTTAAAATTTTAACAAGTATATTTCAGTATAGTACATAGTAAAAGGTATAAATAATTATCTTGAAAAATAATTTTACATAATTTATATTTGATAGAAATAATATAATATAATATACATAAGCATAAAATACTAATGTATTAACATAAATAATTATTAAAATTTTCAAATTATGAAATCTTTATACAAGTATCTTTAAATTTATTATTATGAACTATTATTCTACTTTTAATTGTATAGGTATAAAGTTTAATATTTAGGAACTAGTATAATTTGCTTAAAAGTTCTTAGTAATTAGCTTGATTTTCATTAAAAAACATAAGTTTGTTTAAGCTCGGGATAATTTTCATAAATTTCATGAGAAGTATAGGTATTTGAAAATATGACGTTTATGAAGTACTAAACCTACTTAAAAATTTAAATTTAAATAAATTTAATATTAAAAGAAAAAATAGATGTCAGCAAGTTTAATGGATCATTATTCATATTATATAAATATATTTGTAAATATTTATTGGTTGTCAGCTACTAATCACACCATCAAAGGAATAAATTTCATCCATGACGGGTTTATTGAAATAATTCAATTTTTTTACAGCACATTTACCATTAATTGTTTATTCTAATCGAGCGAGTTGTGGTCAATAATGACAGAGCTTTGGATACATCAGTTCAATTTACCGTGAAGATGTTTACATAATTAAAGTGAATTAGAAAAAGTAATTTGGATATTATATCAATCAATTAAATTTCCTATAATAATTTTCGATGTAGCCATGTTGGTTGTTTTTCAACGTTCAAAGTAGACTTAAACTCGCGTGCTATTATTAACAAACTGATGGTATATGAAAATTTTTCTATCACTCAAATTTAATAATTATTGAAAAGATTAGAAATATATATTTTAAAATTGTTTACTGTAGTTACATTTGACGTGTTAATATTACGTTTTATTTGTACGACTAGCAAGTTGTAATGTACATTAAAATTAAAGATTTATTTGTTGTAAAAATAAAAACTACTTGTACGAGTGATCTAAACATTAGAGCCTGTAATTAGTTTTCTATAGTAAATTAGTTGTCAAATCACGACGCTTTGTAATTATTTTTTAAATAATAAATCATTGAACGGTAGAGAAATAAAATTTCCTCTAGTCATTTTCTCACATTCGCGATATTCGCTAAGCAAAAATGTTTGTATTTGTATAAATTTATTAATTTTTAAATTATAATGAGTTTATTTACTTTTTAATAATGATTTATTATATTTTTAATTTCATAACCTTAAGATGAGCAGTTTTCTCAAAACATTGATGTATAGTATACAATAAATATCAAATATTGAACTAATAATTATTAATTTATATAAATGAGCATTTAAAATTTAGATAAATGGAGTTGTGAATTACAAGTAGGTATAGCGGTTACTTGGTTGATTAACCATTTATCATCTCGCATACATTATATCGCTGTGCTGTCTCGTTTTGAGTTGGACATAGAGATTTTTACCGTGTGACGTATACATGTAATTACTCGCAGTTGTTATTAAATCAAATATTCTAAATTAAAACTATACGTTTTGAGTCCGGTTTGTGGGTAAATGAGTGATGATATGAAAACATAGTAATATAATATTATATATTATTTCCTAATTATAATAATACATTTAAGAACTCATTAGCACATACACATATCACATAAAAATCATATTATTATAAGGTCCTTGTCAAATCATTGCTGGCCGATGCAGCCACACACGAACATATTATATTATACTCGTATTACTTTATTATCGCGGCGCAGCGCAATGTCCTTACTTGCTGTATTGTCTAATCATCACGTCTGTCACATTGCATAAATTCTAGCTAGGATGTTGTGCCAAGTGACTCTTGTTGTCTCCAAACGACAACAATATTCTTTGAATGGATTGTTCTACGGTTGCTTGTTACTGGTCGTCGATCAACAGGTGGTCTAATCTTCGGCGGCTCTATAAGAGGTAAACAACAATATTAATCACTGACATCGTATGCCAATTATTACAATCTCGCATTATTGTTATTTCAGGATGATATTAATAAATTATTCGAATAAAAAAAATAATTATTTAAAATTGTGACTATATTATGTGTATTTATAATAGCAGTTAATAACATTAACAATAAAATAATAATATAATTATCATGTCTAATTTGTTATTAAGCTATATAAATGTCATAGAATAAGTGATGAGATCAAGCCAGAGCTATTAACCTCACAGTCAAATATTTATTTTTTTTTATTTTGGTTTGTTTTAAAATCATAATCTTGAGCATACATTCAAATACACAGTTTAATACAATATAAGTACAACTTTTTAGTAGGTAATGAAATATAAATAATAAAAAAAATATAATAGTTTTACATTTTGTGCCATTAAGTTTATAATTTTTAGATATACTTCTAACAAATTTTGATTCGTTTTAGCGATGAGGATTTACTTTGTTGCTTTTAATGTTATTCTATATGATCAGCTTGTCTTAATATTTTCTTACATGTTAAGTACTCATAAAATATCATCTTAATTTCTCCTCGACTCTCAAATTGAGTGTTTTGATTAACTCATTTATTTGAAAAGAATTGCAACCATAGCTATAAAATACGAAATATTTAAATTAATATCTATAATATAATTTATACATTTATAAATAATATATAAGTATAAATTGTTGTATACGATTATATTTTTTATAGACTTAGAGAATGTTTATAGCTTCATTTTTAAACCCACATACTAGGTTGCTACAGAGTGACTCTCACAAGAATTTCGTTTTGACACTCACGTTTATACATAGAGTTATCATCGGTTAAAGAAATAAAAAAAGGCTTTTTTTAATCAATACATATGTATTTATATATGAATTAATGCATACTTGTAGCTTACATACTCAAAAACTATTCAGCTGATTTTAACGTATATTTTTGAGATAACAGAAAAATGAAGTCTAAAATACCGTGGCTAAATTGCCTATCTTGATCGAGTCAGTTCAAAAAATTGAAGTACATCAACGCCGATTTGTTTGTAAACTAAAGTACACTAATACTGAGTATACTTATATAGTATCGTATTCTATATTTTTTAATTTTTTTGATGGGTGGATCGGCTTATACAACTAGTTATTATATAATATTACAAGAATAATGTATATCATAAATAGCATTATATGAGAGTTACAAATTAAAAATACTTAGATATTAAATATCGGGTATGTGTATTGTTGGTTTATGTTGATTTAGTCATTGATTATCATTTTTTTTTTTTTTTTTTTTTTTTAATCACATTAAATCTCCTAAGAATGAGAGTTTCCTTAGTAACACCTAATAATAATTTAAAATTGTTAATAATTATAGAATATTTAGTTTAAGTTTTTCAAATTTCTCATAGGTACAGTATTATATGGATATTATACACATAAATTATTATAAATTTGGTAAGCATATTATACGCTAAAATAAAAACTTTGAAAATTTGGTAGGACTTTTTGCCATATTTCTAAAAATTTCAATTTTTTTTTTTCAATTTTTAATTTAAAACATTAATTAATTACATTCAAATGTAAATCAATTCAAATTTCATTCTAAAACTATGTGGTTACATATTAAAATGGTTACTACGAGTATACTCACAAAAAATGGAAATCATTCTGTTTAAAATTATACGCGCATAATACCTAGGATTAAATCATTTAAAATATCTTAGATATGTGTATTTCAGTACCTACTCACTTAGGTTATTCCTCCTAAAATTCTAATTTAATGCAAGGTTATGTAGCAAAAATATTTAAAAGTACTTTGGAGCGGAACACACGGTCAATTAATTCAATAATAAAACGTATTGTGTCCCATATAATTCATAATTGTTAGTATAATTTTATAGTCTTAGTAGAATGACATCGAAAATTATTAAAATAGGTACATATGTCATACGTAACTCTTTAATGACAACTTTAATTATAGAGTTATTTCAGTGGATTACATTTTAATTGTGTAGTTTAAAACATTGTATCAATAATATTTTTTGGTATATACGTATTTTATGACGATTCATATTCAATTATTACAACTCAAAAAATAGTTAACTTATTTTACAGTATTTGCTTTACTTACCAATATGTTTTAACGATACATTGTCTTTGTTTCATTTAAAGAATTCAGAAAAAATCAACCACTGAAATGTAACAATACTTTTGTGTATTTTGTTTATCATCATGTTAGTTCAAGTCTCGTGCACTTTGCGTTTTTAGTTTTTATGCTAGAAAAAGAAAAAAATTCTTACTAGTATTTTTGTAAGTCCAGAATTTATAAAATTGTTAAACTATGTTTAAAATATATTAATATTATACGAGCACATTTTACTGATTTAATAATTTTGAATAATTTACAGACAAATGGTCAATTAGTTGATAGTTATTTTAAATTTTTATTTATTTTAGCAACTAATATATTTTTTTATTTTTAAACAAAATTTGGTCTTTTATTTGGATGTTATTAATGTTAATGTAATATATTATACTTTATTTGTAACTTTTGTAAATTATAGATTTAAAACTCTTACTTAAATAAAAAAAAAAAAAAAAAAAAAAAAAAAAAAAACAAAACATGTAAATATATTACGTACTAAATTTCGGTTGAATATTGCTCAACAAAAAGTATATATTACATTGTAAAATGATCACAATTAATAATAATAACATTTATGATTTATCTATGCAGACGTGTGTTAAAGATGACAGATATTAGGTACCTACTATAAAGTATAGCATTATATTGTTATTGAAACTAGACAATTTTTCTATAATCGCAATTGAATACGACAAAATAACTGAAATTTCTTATCCAAAGAACTGTGTTCACATTATGAAAGATAAAATAAAAATAAAATGTTTCAAAACATGAAAAGAAAAATTAAATGTTATGGTACTAAAATATTAGATATAAATGCGTGGATCGTGATATTTAAAAATATGTTACTAGTCAGCTATTCTTTCAACTTTAATATCACTATAACCCATTGGTTATTCTGCAATTATAACTTGTAATAATAATATTGTATTATAAAGGTATAAAATAAAATATGTTGTGCGAAGAAAATGAATTTGTGCACATAGCACAATGGGCTTAGAAATAAAGTTTTATAATATATACTTACATCTGACAAGTACAAAATATTGTATATATGTTACCTAACTTACCTATGTACCTTGTACCTACACTGTCACATATCATACTGTAAATAATAAAGGTAAACAATTCAAAATTGTTATTATTTAAATTTAATAAATAAGAAATGGCAAGAAAAACATTCGTCTCTAAATGAATAATTATGTATAGTATACAATAATTTTATTAGTTTTTTTTTTTAATAGATTGAGAAATTTTTAACACGCACTGAAAAAATAATGAATTTTTTTAATATTCAGCCGCCAGATCTATGTATTTATAATCGATATACTGTTTACATTTCAGAGACATTAACATTCGATGACCTTTGATGTTTCTACGTTCGAAAATAAAAATAAACACGTGCAGTAAAACTGTTTGCTAGCAACGCCAACGTATAACAAAAGCGAGAGTGACGTGTGACCAATGAATGCGAACGACTACTGTACAACCTATACGTGTAATATTAAAAACTATACTACGTGCATAATTTGTATATTGTACATGTACGTCAAAACCGAATAAAATAATAATTATAATTCAATAGCAACTGTTGACCTATACACGCTAGAAGTTAGGTATACCAGGTATATAATGAAATTCACATTCGACATCTTTTCGACCGCTCACGTACGTCTATGTAGCATATATGTAGGTATGCACTATGCGCATACCATCCCATGCAAGGGTATGACGTATGGGTACGATTATATAAATAAGTATGTGAATACCTATCACAGAGTATACCAGTTTATTACTGATAACTCTACGTTCAGAAAACTGGGATAATAGTAATTATTATGTGACATCAATTTTACTATAAGTGTTTTAAAATTATATCGTGTATTATATTATAATTTTTAGTATAGACGTTACATCTGACCGAAATATAGACAGTTCAATGTACAATAATTATTTTTATGTGCGTAGAACTATTACCAAAGAATAATGTTTTATTAGCCAAATTATGGTTAGACGGTTTATTAGATATTTTATTAATTTATTATTGTATTACAAGACCACTTGTAAATAATAAAAGTTGAATTATTGATTTATTATCAGTTGCGTTAAAATAAATGTTGAAAAAAAAAGTTAACTACTAATATGGGACTTGCAGTAAGCAAGCGCTTGGCTTAGGTTAAATTATATTTTTATGTACTCAATGGATGAAAATCCTGTATTTCAATTCTATCTCATCTTATCTAAGAGTAATTCGTCTTCGGACCTCCGATTTTATTTGTTTTTTATACATCACGCTCATATATAATTATTTTAATAATATTTACGTCAGTGACAAAATGTTAGAGCAATTTTCGTTTCTCTCGCTAATTAAACATTTTTTAATAATACGTAATATTATATCCACATATCCACATGCGAACCATGGACCAACAAATCCGGAGCTACGGTCGTCTGCTGTCCAAATGTTGCTATACAACTACAATGGCGGCGACGCACATTACAAATAAACACACACACACACAAATACCAAGATTGTAAACGTTCTCGATGGGTTATATAAGTCCGACGCGTACTGTCGTCCGAAGTCGCCAGAGTTGCATCACGCTTGTACCTCACGCTCGCGCTAGGCAACAACCCAGTAGCACACTTAAAGCGGCGTGTGTTCTTCCTAGTTTTTGACCTCATTCCGCGCGTAGAATCACTTTTTTCACTTCTTCTCCCTTCCACGCCGACGTCTATGCTTTATTTTTGCGTATACAATATGCATATCATTATTATAATTATTACTATTGCTCATATTAGTAACGAGTAATAAATGCCACGCCTGGTATTGCGATCATAAGGTTATAAAATTAGGTATATTGTCGTTCACGTAGATATAGCCGCGAATATACAGAACGTGGTCAAGAGATGTGGTGTGATGATTGAACGGACGTGAGCGTGTATTATAATATGTGTACGAGAGAAGAGACCCTAAGGACAGCATTGAATATATTTTATAATATAATTCTAGAATTTTACAACTCTCGCGATAATATATGTATAAGTACTTATTATAGTTCTGTTACTGTTATTTATTTAAATATAAATTATATGTAAGCGAAAACTCTCGTTTTTGTTATGCATATTACATATTATAATATACTTATAATACGTAATACCCGAAATAATTTACGCGATATTATTAATGTTTATTAATGCTGTAATGACTTTGTTTGTATGTTTTAATTCTAGTAGATAGATGAGTCAAGTCTATACTTTTAAATTCTCTTTTGAAAAAAAAAAAAATCTATTTTTACCACTTATAATGCCAAACATTTTCCCCTAAAACGACTTTATTTTAAGATATAAAATTTAATTTAAAAATACTTCATGAGAAAATATTATTATTTAATATTGTATAAACAACACACGTTACAATTATTTACAAGTAACATATAATATATAATTGTACAATTATATACGCAGTATATTAATATTTAATAATCAATAGCATATACACATCAAACACAAAGATATTCAACATTATAAGTACCTACACATAATGCTTAATTTAAAAATAACTAAAATTGATTACAGCAATATGTTATAGTTACAGTTAGTAGTTTATATGCTAATTAGAGACTGGTGTACTTTATTTCGGGGTTTGCAAGGTAACTTCAGCACCTTTGAGTTGACAAAGTGAAAATCTTTTCATCGGAAAATCAATCGTGGAGTTGGTTGGGAATGATTTAAGAGTATCTAAAAATTGGTCACCTGCAAGTTAAAGTCTTTCGCAAAGTTCCCTTATCGAAATTTTTTCGTATATGGAACAATAGGATAACTCAATTGCTGTCTTTGAGCGTCTAGCAGTTAGTTATCACCTGGTTTAATACTTTGTTACGTCACTTACCCAGGGTCTTTTTGAAAGAAAGAAAAAAATAAATACCTACTGTAAATGAAAAATTGAATGTCTAGTTATCAGATTAAGCATGAGTCAAATTATGGGAACCTATATATTACTATTTGAGTTAAAAACTGATGCCGAATCTCGAGCATTTAAACCGTTTTACAGATGAAATGATTTCTGCATTAAACATTGTCTTATCTATGGAATTCTTGTAATTTATGGGTAATGAAACCTTAAATTGCATATATAATATTTTTATTTAGTATGTTTCTAATGTATTAGTTTATAATAACTGTTCATATTTTCATTAATAGGGTTCTGAATTTGAAATATTTCAAAATTCTTTTTCTTCTTTTAAACGTTTTCGGTTATAGATGATTAAAATAATATATTGATTATATACAAAAAAATATTGACAATGAATATTTTATATTTAGTCGGTTTCCGGTGTGTTAAAAAGTAGTGTTTAAATTTTTTATATCATAAATTTATAAAATATTTTCTTTGTTTCATACAATAAACCAACTTATGAAAATGTTCACTTGTAAGTTGATGAAACTATAAACTTTTAAATACAATTTATTTTAATTTTTTTTTTATCTTTCATTGAAATTAAATATTTCAAGAAAATAAATTTCATAAAATTTTAAATCCCTAGTCATAATATGTATTACATATACTAATGTGTATTACATACATGTTTATCATAATATTTACACACTATTTGAATGTACCAAATTATTTATGCAAAGAAATAAATATTAATGTTCTTTATACTTGATATTCTTTGTACTTGATCACTAAAATTTTATATTAGAAGCAAAATATGTACATTATAGTAACTTTGCTTAAAATACCATTCTATTCATACATATTTCAACTACAAAAACAATTATTATGTTTAATTATGAAGATATCAAAAAACTAAATAATAAATTTATATAACATTTTATAAAAAAGTTTATTTATATAAAAAACATCATGACAAAATCGATAATTAAATGTATATTTAAAATTTGCAATAATTGTGTGCTCGATTAAAAAAATTTACAGCCTAACAAACTATTTTGTAGTAAATAATTATACATTTATTATCGTTATTGATTAGGTAACTATTGAATAACAAAAGTTAATTAATTTATATAATATAAATTTTACCATAAAAAATATGTATCAGTTAAATAGCATACGTGTTATTATAATTAGTATGTTTTTAATGTTAATAATTGTGTTTAACTTACATTTATTAAAAAATTAAAAACATACACTATCTAAATTTATCAAATTTATTCATAAATTATTTGATTACAAAGATTAAATTTTGAGTACACACAAAAGACATTACATCAAAATTGTATGTAAAATTTTTGGCATGAAAAAACATATAATAATATAACCATACAATATAATATATACATATACATACATATTGTAGTAGTGCCACAATTTAAATGTATCATTTAATAATTAAAAGTATCTATGAAACAATCATTTGAGTATGATATATTTAAATGATAAAAATTCTTCTACCGAAACACATTATGTACGTTATACAAAGCAATGCAATGTTGGTATTAAATATTAAATGTTAATTGCTTATACATTATATAAGACATAGTGTACCTGTATAGCTATTCACTCTTAAATATATTATAATATACTCTCAAGTACATGAATATTATACTGTGCGATTCATACGTCTTCGAGAACATTTTTATGCTATTGAGCACAACCCGTGGTTGAAGATGGGTTTACAGGTTAAGCTACCGAAAATAAAACAGTTGTATACATGAATAAATAAATATTGAGAGTTGAAACAAAAGTCACTGCATTATGAAAACCTATACCTACAACACGTTCACAGTGCTAAATTAAAGTATAAGCAATTAAATAATGAAATACATAATATCATATTAGTCCAAAGAAGTTCAATTTCCTTCACTGACGTCAACGGTCTAGAACGATGTGATAGCATACATGACTTTTATTCAACACGAATAAGTCTACAACATGTAAATCGATTTAATATATTATGCATCAAATGCACAAGTTTAAGCAAATAGTATAGAATACATATCTCGTAGATAGGTTGGTGTCCGCGATTTGAATCGTTCTTTTTAATTACACCAACGGAATCGGCTTACAAATCTATACATGTTGGCTATTAAATGACACGCACTACACGAATACGGATAGAACGGATCTGCGAAAAAAAAAACTGGAGAAAAACGTCGGAAGAACTGTCGGTCGGCGGCCGTATTTGTTACTGCGATTGCGACCGCTATGAATGAAATACGAAAAAATGGGCCCACGTG